ATGAATAAGTTTATTGGCCCATGATAGCATATTGAGAACCTAAGGTATCTGAGTAATGTGAGGTTGTGCACTATGTCACCACTCGTATAAATGCACCGAAGTGCCGCGTAGAATTGCACCGTAGTGCCATATAATGATGTCCATAAGGACCACATAGAATTCCTTAAGAATCATATACATATACTAGGGATCAAGTATGTGTCTTTCCAAGACTTCACACATGTTCTACAGAATATATATGTATCCCGAAGGACCGCGTAGAATTGCACCGTAGTGCCATATAATGATGTCCATAAGGACCACATAGAATTCCTTAAGAATCATATACATATACTAGGGATCAAGTATTTGTCTTTCAAGACTTCACACATGTTCCAAAGAATATACATATGTCCCGAAGGACCGCGTAGACCCTCTACCCTTGGCATGCCAACTATACCTATAGTTCTCATCTACATAACATGGGCTTTTACATTTCACGTAGTCTATATCGCGTAGACATGTAAATTCTTACCTTTTCACATAGCTCATAACTTTTCCCACATAGTCATGTCATATAATGCATTTTATATGAACTCATGTCATGTCTCATAATAGAATATGCTCATGTACCAAGATAAAAATCTAGACTTATCACAAGTCTAGAATGGAGTATATTTCTATAATTATGCTATGCATATGCACTCACCTATATTTCTTTGCCTTTTCCTCGATCGATCCTACTTGTAGATTGTTCCCGAACTCGTGTAGGCTCAGTATCTACATAATAATTCAATGATACTTATCAGTATACTAATTAATATATTCTAAACTATCATTCCTTAGACTCATAGAAAAGTCAATTTCATCCTTTAATGAAGGTATGCATCGATGCACTACTGATGCATCGGTGCATAAAATGCATTCGATGTTGTATTATTACTGGGATGCATCGATGCATGACTTATGCATCGATGCACTAATTGCATTTGATGTTTCTATTTTAAAAGAGTGCATCGATGCATTATCAATGCATCGATACACCTTCAAATAATTTCTGGGTTTTAAACTTTATGCATCGATGCACTATGAATATGCATCGATGCACTCTGCCCAGAATCCTCTTTATGCCCGAAAATCCACTCTTTTAGCTTAATACTTCATATATCATCCTCTTTTATTTCCTAACTTGCATACTCTTACTTAAGCTAATTATTATCCATTAATATTTCTAAAACTTAGAAATCTAATTCTCCATGTAGAATTTAAGAATCTAACCCAAATTCCAACATGTTCTAATTTGAATTCTAACACCTCATACTTCTTAGTTAGCTTATTGACAAGTCAAAAATCTTATTCAAACTTCAAAAACTCATCCATATCAAAATTTCATCTAAAAACTCATTTTCCAAATCTATCTCTAAAACATTTATCTTGTTATCTTAATGTCATATAAGCTTTCCTTTAGCTTATATAACATCCAAACTTCAATTTCCAAGCTAAACATCAAAGAAACTACCAAGGTTCAAATTCTTACCTTAAACTTGGGTCTTCACGTTTGGAAGAAGAGAAGAGTGAAGATAAGAAAGAAGGAAGAAGAAATGAGAGGATTCTGGAAACATTTGTTTCCTCCACAAGCCCCACGTGGGTTATAATATAACCCCATAACATTTTTTTTAATTATAATTTTTCCTTACAAATGACCATTTTGTCCTTACATTCATTTCATATTTACTAACCATTATTTTTAAACTATATAATTATTCTACTTTAATCACCAAATGTTGAAACTTTGCAAATTAATCACTAACCCGGCATGGAGGATGTTACAGCAACACTCAAATCACACAGATTCGAATGTCACACAAAAATTTTAAAAGTGAAGACCCAAAGATTTTCCTCATAACTCATATTTGCTTCAAAGTATTTATATACAATATAAATCGTAACAACTTATAAAAACGGGGCCCTCAATTTAGAAACTCAAAAAATTAAATAAATAACCCATATGTATATATATACACACACACACAAAATGACTTCTTTCAAACCATGACCTCTACATGCTCATTAAGCATATATCATCATTCTCTGGTACTCTGCTGAGACTCCTTTGATGATCTCGTTATCCCATCGCGATCCACAAAACCTAAAATCTACGAACGAAAACACATTTCGAACGCTGAGTTCATAAGCCCTATGTCACACAATACGTCTACCATACTACATGCATTCATCAAATGATCATGTTGGCGAATGAAAATATATGCATGCAAATACACTTAAACATCTTGAGGTAAGTCTAGTGGTGTGGTCGGAGGAATTTACATGTATCTCAGGACGACACCCCTAGCTTACCTAACATCTCATGAATATGCAGAAAATATCAACAAATATAAAATAGGTCCAGAAATGTGGTCGGAGGAATTTGCATGTATCTCGAACAACATACTAGCTTATTTAAAATACAATAACTTTAGGGTAAGAACCAGAATTTACGTGCATCAGAACTTGTAGCCCTTAGTCTACCGAAGATACTCGACATGTCGGGGGAGATCTGAAATTTACGTGCATTGAAATCTCACATCCCGTACCTAATTCCATAATTTACGTGCATCAAAATTCGTATCGGTACGATCCAAATTTTACGTGCATCGGATGTGTACCAGAACAAAAGATATTAGGATATCAACATAACATAACATAACATAACATAACATAACATGATAAACATCATAATACTAGAGTAACTCAGGTATTCTAGTTGTTTCCCGAGTATCAAACAAAGACTAGTTTTATATCACTTTATTTCATAACGTTATTAGTCGAGTTGATCATTATCAATGATATCCAAATTAAGGGTTTAAGTATTTAAGTAAACCAATTAATAGACAAAAATAAACTCACTTAAACATGCTGAGGTCAAGATAACATTTCTCAATAATTCAGAACCCTAAAGAATGAAATTTCACCATTTTTCATCTAGCAAAATAACGACGGGATTGATCATTTCTTTCGAGGGATCGATCATTTTCCCCGAGGGATCGATCTTATGCACAACAGAAAGTTTGGGATCGATCTTTTTTGTCGAGGGATCGATTTTTTGTCCCAATAGATTGATCCTTTTGAAAAGGGATTGATCATTTACTGGATAGAAAATTTGAGATCAATATCTTTAGTCGAGGGATTGATCATTTTTTTTCTGAGTACGACTTGCTTAAGCTTGGAAAACACCCAAAAATCAACCCAACAATTCCCATAAGACTAGAAAACATGTTTAACATCTTATTTGATGTCTTAGAGGTCAAAATGTATTAATTTTCATGCTTGTAACACACAAATACGAATCTTGCCATGAAAATTACTCTAGCATGCTTCATGAACTAAACAAACCCCCACATCATTTTTATTCCCCATACATGCAAACATATTCATTTAAAGGACATTACAAGTGGTAAGGAAGAGTTATAGTGTGTTACCTCATCTCCTAGCAACTCAAAAATGTCTATTGCTTGCCTAAGGATTAATATTTTCTTGACTAAAGGGGGTGCTTGCTTCACTTTCCATCACTCAAGAGCCACCAACCGGGTCTAACATGAAAATGGAGGATACTAGTTTTTAAACGATAACTATATCACATGAAAATTGAATGGGAACATTGGAGGAAGCTCTTGGAGTTTAAATCCTCCTAAAACCCCATGAATGCTCAAGAACACCATTTGTGGAAATGGTGAGCTTTTCATGAAGCTCAAGAACTCTAGGTTATGAATCTTACCTCTAGATTTCAAATTAAGGAAGGGGGTGAAGAAAGGTGAAACCTTTTTCTTTGTTCTTGCTTGAGTAGAGAGAAAAAGAAGAAAGAAGGTGAAGGAAGAAGAGAAGATAAAATGGAAGAAGCTTTTGGGGAAGAGAAAGAGAAAAATCTTTCCCCAAGTCACGTGAAAATCAACTAAAAATCCTCCTAAATCAGCCATGTTTTTCTTCAATGGTATAATTACATTACTAGTCATTCCATCTTCTTCTTAAGCTTAAAAAAAAAATCCCATTTTAACTTCTACATGGCTAATTTCTCATTCGATTAAACTCAAATTGAAACAAGAGGACCTCGTAATATAATAAATTTATTAAATAAATTATCTATTGAAATGAAACTACTAGGTCAGTATTTGGGGCGTTAAAATAATATTAAACTAATTATCTTTTTATGTTTTTGATTTTACTCACAGAAATTAGTGATTAGTGATGTGATTTATAATGTTCTAAGAGGTCACCAAATAGTGAAATTGTAATGAAATTTTTGTGTAGTGAGTTAATGTTATGCAAAGATATATTTAAATTATGTTGGATTAAGTTCTAAACATCAGTAAAGTATAGGGATGATCCCCCCACAGTGAGATTGAACAAGCTTATGGACCTCAATTATAAAGGTAAAAAGTAAGATTAAAAAAATTAGGGACCTTAATTATAAAGGTAGAAAGTGAAGTTGAAAAAACTAAGGGGTCTCAATTATAAAGTTTAAAAATGAGATTAAAAAAATTAGGGGACTCAATTATTAAGGTAAAAAATGTGACTGGAATAATTAGAGACTTCAATTATAAAGTTAAAAATTGAGATTAAAAAAATTAGAACCTCAATTATAAAGGTAAAAAAATAAGATTTAAAAAATTAGGGGCCCTAGTTACAAATATGAAAAAAATGAGAGCCCTAATTATAAAAATAAGAAAATGGGGCCCTGAGCAATCACTCAGTGCACTCCCCTAATAGTCGGCTATAGGTTTAAAAAAGAAGACTAAACTAATAAAAACTGCAAATGTTGAGCGGCTAAATTTATGATTTTACACAGTTTTTAAACAAAGCAAACAAAAAAAGTCCCAAAGGACTGAAAATAATTTGAAAAGTTGATGACTAATTTTGCGCAAATAAAAGTACAGAGACTAAATCGACACAAATCGATAAATTGAGGAACTATCCGAAAAACTTGGGTAGATTTTCCTGACCTAGGGCACCCGTACCCCTGACCAACAAAGGCAATTCAACGATCCCAAACACTTTACGTTTTCGTTTTCTTTCCTATATTTTCATCTATAGATTTGGGGAAGAGTCAAGAATCTGAAGAGCTTTGATCCCTCAAAACCCATCAATGGCGGGTGTATCTTTGAAGTGCGGGGACTGTGGGGCACTGTTGAAATCGGTGGAGGAAGCCCAGGAACACGCCGAACTCACTTTCCATTCCAACTTCTCCGAGTCCACTGAAGCCGTTCTCAATCTTGTTTGCTCTGCTTGTGGCAAACCATGCCGATCCAAAACAGTATAGCATCCGCTTTTACTTCAATTCCATTAGGGTTTTTCAAAATTTCGATTGGGTTATAGGACTTCTGTGCTGATTTGAGTTGGAATTGCAAGTTTGCTTTGAATTGGGTTTAAATTGATTTTTTTATTAGAATCTAAGTTGAAAATTAAAGCTTTTGTACTGGCTTGATTTGATTTAAGGGCTTTCTTATCCGATACATACATGCGTGGGTTAACGATTATTTATTATGTTATTTTTACGGAATTTATGAAAAATAATATGTTAATTGCACTTTCCTTTCATTTATATCACCTCAGCCAATGCCATTAGACACTGGGTAACATCTCTCTTGATTTAATTTATAAGTTTTTGTGCTGGATTTGTTTTAGTTTGGAAAGTTGGGATTTCTTGGATTCGGGAAAAGTTGAAAGTTTGATATCAGAAAGTGGATGTTTATATAAAGGATTTGGTGAAAATTTGGGGCTTTGGTTGTGGAGAAGCTGACATCATTGTGAAGTATTTGTGTGTTTATTTGGTTTTAAACATGAAAGGTTGTTCTTGCTTCCATGAACATGATTGTGCGGGATTTTTGGTTAAATCAACATTTTATCTTTTAAAGTCAATTTTATGTTTTGAAAACGAAAATCTGAAATGGATTAGAACTCTGATGCCTTTCTTTTTCTTTCCTGGCAAATAAAGTAGTGCACTTGGTTTTACATATGATGATAATTGGAGCTTTACTCTTATTTCATCTTGAAGGAAAGCGATTTGCATACAAAAAGAACAGGGCATACCGAGTTTGTAGATAAGACTTTGGAGACAGCAAAACCAATTAGTTTGGAGGTCCCAAAGGTAGCTATGGACTCAGAGGAGACTGTTGATGCAGGTAGCACCAGCCAATCTGAAGGTACATTTGCAATGGTTATTTTAGTTAAAATTTTAATGAATGATCTCTTGTATAAAATACTTCTTTGAGTAGTGTTCTCTCCATTTCATGTTTGTACTGATTTGTTATTGCAATTTGATATGCCTTTCTCATATCTATGACAGCTAGAGCTTTGTTTGCCAAGCTTTGGTTTGATGACATAATTCCTTTTTCCTCTTTCCCAACCCTCTTCTGGTGGTTTGGAAGTAATTGTTGAAGATGTTATTCTAAATTATTTGGGGGTGATTTTTCTGTATGCCAAGTGTTGCTGGACAATAAGTGCTTTCTTAGCTGTTGTATATGTTATAAATGCGAGTATATTTAAATTTGTATGCATCATTATGAATAATTGTTTTGTTTTCCTTTGTTTTGATAGAGATGGTTGTGCCAGAGGTTGACAAAAAACTGCTTGAAGAACTGGAAGCGATGGGTTTCCCTACCGCACGAGCAACACGTGCTCTCCATTTTTCTGGTATGGTCATTTACATTCCGGAAGTGCTTTAGTTTACACTTTTTCCTTTATTCTCTTTTTCCTGCTAGGTTGTAGATATTATTACTTTGTCTTGGAAGTAAATGCCAGGTGGTGAAATTTGCCATTGCTTCATCTCAATTTTAAAAATTAACGCCATAATACATGTTTCTTTGCATAAAATTAGTTTTTAAAATTGACTCTCTTTTTCTCTCTCTGAGTTTCAAAAGATGAATACGAGCAACTTTACTTTTTGCTTTTTTTCTTTTCGGTGATTCACAGTCTTGATTTTGATGCTAAAAATACAAATATGTTCATAAAATGTTTCAGACAATACTGATAAAGGTGCAAGCTTATGAGATATTTGCTATTGTGTAAACGTCGGGTTTCCCTTCTGCAGGTAATACAAGTCTTGAGGCTGCCGTGAACTGGGTAGTTGAACATGAGGCTGATACAGACATCGATGAGATGCCCATGGTATATTATCTTTGAACCCTAAAACCTGCCTATAGTCATCCTGATATGTGCAAGAGATTCCCTAGTAATTATATGGATTTACAGGTGCATTTGTCTTTTCAGGTATCTGTCAATAAAAATGGTGAGGCGCCTAAACCTTCTCTTACACCGGAAGAGATGAAACTCAAAGCACAAGAGCTAAGGTATAGCTTATAAAGTTGCATTCTTCAGTACTAAAATCGAATGCATAGTGCAGTCATTGGCGATTGAAGCATTTGCCGTTGTCTTTTCCACCTATATTACTATCGGGACTTGGGTGTGAGTGTCCAACAAGGGTGTGTTTATGTGTTTTACTAAGTTTTTCCATGTATTTTGAGGATTCTTAGCGGGAAATATCCTTGTACCCATGTCTAGATGTGCGTCGGATGCAAATACTTAAATAAATATGAAGAGTTGGAGCTATATAGTTTCCACTTTTGGTAAAAACCTTAACCATTCTGCCCTAGCTCCTGATGTCTGTCTTATACGTGGTGAAAGGTTTATTTTTGGGTCTCTCTCTCTCTCTCTCTCTCTCTATCTCTCTTATATTGTGAAAAGTTTGAAAGTTCTAGCCAGTATTCTGGTGGACTGTGACACATTTCAGATATATTTCACGATGTTATGCTGACTTGCATGTTTGTGTGACATTGGTCTCCTGTTTTATATTCATCTTTTTTGTAAATAATAGGGAGCGAGCTCGGAAAAAGAAAGAAGAAGAGGAGAAGAGGATGGAAAGAGAAAGAGAAAAGGTGCTTATCATTTTGATGACCATGCATACATGCATGCCATATATTATTCTATAACTAGTTTCTTAAAGTTGTTTCCTGTAACCATCACACATGATGTTCTGCATTGTGAAAAATTGATTTAGTCCCATTTTATATGACTCATTGTGACGTGGACCAGCGATAATTTCATTGTAAGTGTAAAATGTAATTGAAGGCCATGGAAATACATAAATATTTCTTTTGACCTACTTTCTATTGAAAAATACATTAATGGAATCGGTCAGATATTGTTTCGTTGTGATTGTTGGCTAGGTAGAAATGTTCCACTCTGCTAAAATAGACGGCATTTATTCTTCTGAACTAGAACACAGACAACACCCAAACTATCCATAAGCCTTTCCCACCACGTCAGATTTTTCGGGGTCCAGGGGGGATTAGTTGACGATCATCGTAAAAGTGAGGTCCTTTTTGTAGTTATCCTTCTCTTCTTTGGCCTCCCTTTCACCCTGTTGATCACATTTGTTCATGGAGTATTTGTAGAATTTGTCACAATTTTTTACCTGAAGCTATCTGTAACATGATTTTGCTTCATAGGTCATTTTCCATTTGTGTGACAACATTAACCATTGTTTCAGGAGAGGATTCGAGTGGGCAAGGAGTTGTTGGAAGCAAAACGTATTGAAGAAGAAAATGAGAGAAAACGGTTGGTCTTCTAGCTTATATTATGTATTCTTTTCTCTCTTGTTTCAAGGATTTGACTAGATGATAACAGTCATTTTTCATTTATTTTTGCTTTCACAGTTTGATGGCCCTGCGGAAAGCTGAAAAAGAGGAAGAGAAACGAGCACTGGAAAAGATTCGCCAGAAATTGGAAGAAGACAAGGTTCTAATTTTTTCTTTCCACGTTTCCTTTTTGTCTAACTCTATTATTAATCATTTTATCCACTATGTTACTCTCGAAATGAGCATGTCCAGAATGGATATGGTCCCTTTTTTATAAGTTTTATGTATTTGAAAGGTCTTTTGATGGTCATATCCTCGTATCTATGTTTGGATATGTATTGGAGACAGTTGTTTGACATAGTTACTTCAAGAGAAATCAAGAGTTGAAGTAACATAAATTATCCAATGACGTTAACAACTACATCACATTAAGCAACTACCAGAAAAAATGTCTATGTTGCTATCTTAATTTTGTGGCATTATCATTACTTCCCTCCACCATCGTGGTGCGGTAAACAAAGTTAAATATGTCTCATAGGCAGAGAGAAGGCGGAGACTAGGGCTGCCACCAGAAGAGCCTTCAGCAGCACCAAAACCTTCTGCGTCTGTTTTTTTTTATAGGAATAGTAGGCCTCACTAAAAACCCCCTTCATGATTAACGGAACTTGAAAATAGTTCCTTAATCAGCGGAAGGAGGAAAAGAGTGCCCTAGGAGTTCATTAATCTTAAAACATTACAAAGTAATACAATGTCTAATCTCCCTCCAGAGATAAAAAGCCAAAAAGAACCAGCCCTTAATAGAACATAATACTCAACCAATACCAGACTTAGCTAGAACATCCGCCTCTATATTGGCTGTTCTACTAACCCATCTAATAAGACCTTCATAAACACTAAGCTTTTGAATAATTTCCTTAACAACTTGAACATAAACGACAGGACAAGAACCAACATCCTTGACCCAACCAATTGCCACCTTACTATCACTCTCGATAATCAATCTCTCTTTAAATTTGTGGCGAATAGATTCATAATAAAATAACCCCTTTAGGATAGCTTTCAATTCCATCAAAGTTGGAGGTCCCGGACCAGCAGGGTCTTGAAGGAGCCGAGAATCGAACCAGAACTATCTTTCAGAAACGCCACCTAAACCACTCCTCTTCCAATCACTAGAAGTAGCCGCATCCACATTAAGTTTAATAAAACCTTCTGGAGGAGGGGACCAAGGAACCTTAGATGAAATCCGATTAGTATAAGACGAGCAAGAATCCACTAAGGACGGGTCGGCAATAAGAGCATCCTTGGAAATAGAAATCTGAGTTTCCCTAGCTAGAAACCATGAAGCAAGCCTGCACCTAGCTAGATAGAATATTTCTGCTCGATCAAACTTCCCTCCTTCAAACACTATATAATTCCTAGTTTTCCATATTGTCCATAAGACCACTCCAGGGATAAATGACCACATCAGAGAGTTGGTCTTTAGGTTAGTCCATGCTACTAGGAATTTTTTTGCATCTTCATGAAAAACAGACTGAAAATTCCAATAACCCATGAATTAGTCCATATTGGCCAAACAACCGAACATGAAAAAAATAGATGAGATGAAGACTCTTCTTCTAGATTACAAAAGGACACATAGAATCATTTATGCCCTGAACACCTCTCTTAACCAGAGCTGTCTTCACTGCCAGCTTCTTTAAGATAACTTGCCAAAGAAAAGTCTCCACTCTTGGAGGCAGCATGCCCCTCCAAACAATAGATTTCCAAAAATTAGCTCCTCCAAATCAGAAATACCCGAATAATATAGATTGGCACATGATTTAACATTGAAAACCCCTTCTCCATTCCCCTTCCACAACAGTCCATCAACCGCATCAGTAGAAACAGAAAATTCTGAAATAACAGCCATCAAGTTTAACCATTGTTCAAATTCCCAGTCATTCAACTCCCTTCTCAACTGGACGTTCCAAAACCAGCCCCAGAACTGTAATCCCCAAACTGAAATAATCTTCCAGTTTTGTTCACTGCAATAGAGAATAGTCTAGGGAACATGACCCTCAAAGGATGATCCAATGCCCAATTGTCTTGCCAAAACCGAATATTCCTCCCATTGCCAATTTTGTAGCTATAATTGCTTCTGATACTACAGCCCATCGAATCAGCTTTAAAATGATTATTCACCAAAGATCTCCATATCCAAGAAGATTTAGGAGAAACCTTACTATCAAGCTGCATCAATGAAGAATCCAATTTGTATTTAGTGCAAATCATTTCCCTCCAAACTGCCTTCCTCTCCTAGCAAACCTCCAAGCCCACTTTTCCAATAAAGCCCTATTCATCGTATTTAAATTAGGAACTCCCAAGCCTCCTTCAATTTTTGGTTTACAAACGTTGGACCAGCTTACCCAATGGATTTTCTTTCTCCCACCTCCTCCACCCCATAAAAAATTTGACATAATAGAGTTTAGGGTCTTGTATACTGAAGCTGTACCTTAAATAATGACAAATAGTATATAGGAAGTGAACATAGGATTGATTTAATCAAAACCAGCCTGCCCGCCAGTGACAAAGAAGAGCCTTTCCAGCCTGCTAACCTCTTATTGAAGCTTTGAACCACTGGATCCCACAGAATGTTAGAGTTCCTGTGTGGACCAAGAGGGAGTCCCAAATATTCAGAGGGAAAATAACCCACTGAACATCCAATCGTAGCTGCCCAATCCTTAATTTCCTCTTCCCTTAAATTCACCCCAAACAATTTGCACTTCTTCAAGTTCAACTGAAGTCCAGAAATAATCTCAAACACTCGAAGCACCCTCTTCACATTCAAGATCTGTTTTTTCGACGCACCACAGAATATTATAAGGTCGTCAGCAAATTGTAGATGTGTTAAATTAAAATTCTTCTCCCCATTTGTAATCATCAAACTCGAAAAGAGACCCCCTGAAACAGCTTTAAGTATCAATAAATTCAATAGTTCCCCAACTATATTAAACAACAACGGAGACAACGAACAGCCTTGACGAAGACCCTTAGCCATTGGGATTTCCTCGGTTGGAACCCCATTCACCAAGACTGAAACAGTTGCTGAAGTGATGCACTTCGAAATCCACCCTATCCATCTAGAACCAAATCCCATTTCCTTCATAATTCTGAACAAAATAGGCCAGTCAAGAGTATCATATGCCTTCTTGAAATCAGCTTTAAAACACATCCTTTTAAACCATTCTTCTTCCAAAAGTCAATCCCTTCATTGGCTATAAGGGAACAATCCAAGATTTGTCGACCGGGAATAAAAGCGAATTGACATGGACTGATCAAATCTGAAATGCAGCTCCTAAGTCTCCTTGACAGACATTTAGAGAGGATCTTGTACAAACCACCCACTAAGCTAATAGGTCTAAAATCGTCCAAACCACCAATGTTTGAAATTTTCGGAATAAGAGTGATGAAAGTGTGATTTATTCCATGTTCCCAATCCTTTCCCAAGTAAAACTTCTTAAAGAAGGTCATAATATCTTCCTTAAGTACCTGCCAAAACCTCTTGAAAAAACCCATATTAAAGCCATCGGGACCCGGAGCTTTGTTACTTCCACAAGACTTCACAACATCCCAAACTTCCTCCTCTGAAAATTCCTGCTCTAAGAACTGATTCTGCTCCAAAGAAATTCTGGAAAAATCCAGATTTAATTCATCAATTTCTAGAGTAGATCGGTTATTGTAGATCTTAAAAAAATAATCCTTCACAATGTCCTTAATAGCAATTGGGTCTTCAACTATTTCTCCTCTAAAATTAAGTGCCACCAGTGCATTCCTCTTCTTCCTAACCGTAGCACAGGAATGGAAGTATTTAGTGTTGCGATCCCCGTCTTCAATCCATTTAGATCTCGAATACTGAAACCAAATCTGCTCTTGGATCTTGTGCAGCTTCCACAATTCTGCTCTACAATTATTCAACTCAGTTAATACCTCACTATCGACAGCACCCTGCTTTTGTTGAATATCAGACCCCCTTTCTGAATGGTAACTATTGTTGTAATCCTAGACTTCAGTACAACTCTGTTTCTGTATTGCAGAGTGCATTGCCAGTTAGGCCTGCCACAAAGGCAGAGCAAATGCGCGAATGTTTGCGATCTCTCAAGCAAAATCACAAGGTAAATAAAATTTTTATCTTGATCGCTACTTGTTATCATCTTACGTAGAAAGCATAGACATGAGTATAACACGAAACGCACGTGGAAACACCTTTTTTTTTTAAATTAGGAGATGATGGATATGGCAAAACAACAAAATTAAAAAGAAAATATACTCTTTAAAATTGATTCTTTCTAATTAAACATCAACATGCAAATAGTTTTTTATGTTTTTAAAATAATCGAATTTGAAAACTTGAACCTAAAATTCAATTAGAATCAAATTGCTGTTTGTTAACTCCATATTTGGGAATAATGCAAAAAAGAAAACCGAAACACCATCATGTGTCTGGGTGTGTTCAGCCATATTCAAATGTTTCTACTCGTGCCTTGCATGCATTCTGTCATCCATGTCAAAAACACTGCCCTGATATGATAGAAGTGTCTGTGCTTTAAAGCATCTTATGGTATCCCAAAAATCTTCAATATTATATTTTAGATTGATGATTTTCAAGCACTATGCACCTCCGTCATTCTGGTAGTAGAATAGCATGGTGTCTCCCTTACAAGGCAAAATTCCTAGTAGAAATGCATAGAGGTTTAGTTTTCAACCCCTAGATGGTCATATTCTCTTATCCATTAGGCAAGATATTCTCCAATACTAGTACTTTTCTATATTTTGCTCAAACTCAGGTGTGAGCTTTATATACAATTATGCATCTAATATGGGTATGTTTAACTCTCTTAAGTTTTTTCATGTATTTGGAAGATCTTATATGCATCAGATATGAGTTCTTTAAGAGAGAGAGAGAGAGAGAGAGAGAGAGAGAAATAAAAGAAAAAGGTGGAGCCATATAGCTTTTTTGTTCCACTAAACATAGCCTTTTTTTGCTTTTCTTGGTCTAGGTTTCAATCTTTGTATATCAACTTAAGATCAACTTATGTTGTCATCTTGTAATTACCTATGCTGTTCTTCAATTTTTCTTGAAGTACTTGTATCCGATATTCATGCGCGTCACATATTCAAACATGAGTACGGGTGAGCAAAACACGATTCAACTAAAAAAAATGTTTCTTGAAATTCAAGTTGTTCGAGTTATTTGTAAACTTGAATTTCGAGTTTGGATTTTCAAAGTTTAAATAACCGAGAAATAAAAAATTAAAGGCTTAAATCCAAACTATAGCTCTTTTCACGAATAACTGTTTAAAGTATTTTTTTTGACTCATCCCGGTACCTAAGGTTACAAATATTACCATGTTAGTTTTTAACTCTTTTCACGATTACCATTTTTATTTTTTTCTTTAAAATTGAAAAATTAAAATTATATAAAAATTTGAAATAATTCCAAAACTTTGAAAACATTTATTTCAACCCCTAAATTCACGTCGCTCGTCGCCTTTTGCCGTTGACGAAGCTCTACCTAGCCTCATCTCCACCCGTCGACCAAAATCTTATGAAATAGTGATTGATCGACGACGAATTGATGTTTTATACCCCATAAACCCTATAATGAAAATTTGTGATTCCAACGGCCAATAGGCAGCAACTACAATGGCGTATGACTACGAGGATTGAAGGGATTACGTCGTGGCCGGATAAGACGACGGTGGCAATTTAAGGTAAGAGTTTGGGGGTTTTATGGAGTTTGGGGCTTTTTATAATTTAAGAGAAATTAGTGTTTTTTATAATATAATAATATTTTTAATTTTTTTTAAAATAAATTTCAAAATCACTAGTTTGTAATACGCATCACTTAATGGAAGAAATTAACGTCGTTGACAGCCCGAGCACCTAAAATAGTAACGTCTATAAAGTTAGACATCGAGATGAGTCAAAACATACTTTAAGCACCTATTCATTAAAAGCGGTATAGTTTGGGCACTTATTTTATATTTAAGCCAAAATTAAAACGATGTCGTTTTGGTCTTTAGCCAAATAATTTGACTTTTGTGATTTGATCCCTGATTTTCTTGTCTCTTCAATTCCTCTTTCATTTTAATGTTTCAGTCCATTTTGACCAAATTTGAATCACAAGCTTCTAAACCAATGTAGAATACAAATGTAGGTTTAATTCATGTTTTTGACAATAAATATCATCTTTCTTAAATTCCTCCTCCATTTTCTATTTTGATCAAATTTGAATCACATGTTGCTCTACCACTATAGAATACATCTACAACTCCATTCCTTTTTCAACAAGTTTCATCTGTTTTCAATTTAGTCCTTCATCTTTGCATTTTATTCAACTTGATCCTTCGAGTACAAATTTTTGCAAATTCTTTCTTCCCATCAGTTCATTGATTGTTTTAGACTCCCATCAGCATTTTGTACTCAAAAGACTTTTCTTTAAAAAAAATAACAGTATAAATATATCTTAAATAACATTATAAATCTTATTTACACTTGTGGAAAAATATATATGTATATCATATTTGGTTAGAAAAAGTCGTTTAAATTGGAATCAATTTGTATCATCCAATTTGAATAGAAACTCCTTACCAATGTTTAAAACCCTGAACCTAAGATGGAACGGTTGGACCTCCAATTCTTGATCCAACTAGTTTCATTTTGGTTTGTCTTCAATATAAAACTAAAAGATTAAAGGTTTATATCTCTATAATTACAAATAAACTTGAAAACTAAAAATACCTAGGAACTTGATTTCTTTACTGGTTCAGTATATTTATTACTGGCTTTTCTGTTTACTGTTTGGACTGGTTCTCAACGGGTTCAATGTTCATATAGTTTCTTATCGGTCTGGATTTTTATTCTATGGTCCCATCCAATAAGATGATATCACATATATAGCACATTTGAGCCGCAGATCATTGTTTTGGTCTTACATTTTCTTTTCTTTCTTAATTTGTTAAGGATGATGATGCCAAAGTGAAGAAAGCATTCCAGACTCTTCTCACGTATATCGGAAACGTGGCCAGGAATCCTGACGAGGAGAAGTTCCGAAGAATTAGACTCAATAATCAAACTTTCCAGGTATTAAATTCGACCTTAATATTTCAGCATCGATGTTTAAGAGTATGCATATGATTATTCTTATATATAGTATTGATTTTACGGAAGTTTTTTTTATTAGCCAAAAATGAGCTAGGCTTTAACTCCTATATTCATGGTTTGTGGCTGGCTTAGCCAATTTTGTAATTATAATAAATATATTAAGTCACCCATGCTTAATAAATTTAGAAAAGAAAAAAATGTAAAGTTACTAAAGATAATATAAACAGGCTTGGATTATCAATTTATACATATGGATGGACTGACATAGGATTTGAGTTGAATATTGCTGAATTGGACTTGTACAAGTGTATATCAGTAGTGTATTATGTAGTTAGTGTTGATACTATGCCGAACACGACCCGGGAATACATTCAGACCCTGGTTAACATTTCCCTATATGATTAAAACTTCCCTGAAACTATACGAACATGATAGGAATACACAAATGCCTTAAAAGTTTATGTACTATTACGGATCATCAATGCATCTATATTATACGTTCTTAAACACGGCATGACACAATATAATACACAAACACGACACGGTATCTAGCCACATTTCATGATTCAAGTTTTATTTGTGTAACAGGATAGAGTTGGATCTCTGAAAGGAGGAGTGGAGTTCTTGGAGCTTTGTGGATTCGAGAAAGTCGAAGGAGATGAATTCTTGTTTCTCTCCAGAAACAAGGTTGGCATGCAAGTTCTCAACTCAGCTGGATCCGAGCTCAACTCTGCTATCAATAATCCCTTTTTCGGGATTCTTTAACTTTGAAAATTATATGATCTTGTTTTTATAATATATATATATATATATATATATATATATATAATTATCTTCTTTGGCTTGTTTGTCATTGGTTTTTGTCTTAAGAACATGGGATTTTATCTGTGTATTTAAGTATGTAGAAACCTTGTTTTGTCAACTCATAACTTTCACCGAACCTCTTTCAATTACCTAATGCACATGCTATCCTTAAACCTTATATGCTTTATTTCTTGGGGTAAATATACATTTTTACGAACCTTGAATTTATTGAATTTCATCACTGGAAGATATCTTATAAAATATTAATTCTAATAAACGATAAATTCATGCATAAAACACGTGGACGTAAAGGAAAAATCTTGCTAGGATAATATAATAACACAAAATACTAGTTAAGAAAAGTGCAACACATGTAACGTCCTACTCCGATATGACTTGATTGATGGATCCGATATGAATTGATTGACGGATCAAGACATCACATGTGACCACAGAGGTGGTTAACTCAAAAAAAAACTTAAACAATTAAATCATAAATTTAATAAGCATAATGTTTGAGTTTACAAATACGTGAACCCCTAAACATACATCCCAAATAAGTTTGACAGATATTTCAAAATACAGTTACTACTCGAATACAAAAAGTTCCATAAACAATATATGTACTCAAAAAAATATTTAATACGTACTCAAAAGCTTGTGTCGGTCTGCAATGCGGACAACGCGACAAGCTCCTTGAATGATGTGCTCACTTGCTCAGTGCCGCATTAATAATAAACTACACTACATGCGTCCACTACATGATTCGTGATAACAAACATAAAGGCTACCATATGAGGATGCTAAGCTAAACATACACATAGAGATAGGCATCATGGTGTGACCGGAGGGTTTTTCTACATCTCATAGACACATATATGTAGCCTACCTAGGTGGGATTCGAAATTTCTACATCGGAAATATCCACCCGTGAGAAATTTAGGGTTTGAGTGTAAACTTTAATATTTTTAAATTTATTGTTATTATAACCTTATATAATATTAAAATATTGATAAAAATATGACATGTCATATAAAAAATAATATAACAAACCATGTCATCATTGAGTGATTAAAAAATTTAATCTATAAAGTTTAGTGAGTAAATTGAAAAAATTGAAAGTACAGCGAGTGAAATAGGAGAGATAATAAAATGCAGTGATGAACATTGTAGTTTATTAAAACATTCACTATTTAATAATTCAAATTAATCTGCCTTAAATCGTTTATATTTTAACTAAAAAAATTAACCTAATCAAACCAACTTTAAAAAACCATTAGCATGGCCTTTAAACAAATCTAATCATTTTTCGTATTAAGTTAAAGTGATTACATAATAGTAAATTTTTTTTTATATTTGGTCTATAATATATGTTCAAGTTCGTGACTATCCCTATTATTAGTATTATTAAAATAAATTTTCCAACATTATTATGCCTTCTAGACATAATATAATGCAACAAGATACATTCTTTAGTAAAAGTTAAAGAATGAATTGTGGGCGTTAAATACGTTATAAGAAAAGTAAACCAAACCCTTGTTGGCAGATTAAATTGCTTCCTTTGGATTGTGTACGCACTGATAATCTCTAAAAGAATTATCATATATGAACTTAAACATTATTAGGAGCATATTAGCACTGATAACTCTATAAAAGATGACAAATGGCTTAAACGAAATGAATAGAAATTTCTTGAAACTTGTTCATCTTTTTATCCCATTGCCTTGAGTCTCCAAAGGTAAGAAGAAGGAAAAATTATTTTGATTTTTCAAGTCATTTGGTTAGGAATTTTGATGAAAACATGAAATACAAAGTTGATCTACATGAAATTCTCTGTCTTTTGATACAATTATTTCATTTTTTTTTCATTCTTAAAACCCTAAATTCTTGATTAGGGTGAATGAATGGGATGATAAGATTTGATGTTCTAAGGCTTGATTATGAGTATTGGATGTTGTTGAATCATTTTCATGTCTGAAAGATGATGAAAACCCATTAGAAATGGTATATGTATTGTTTGGCAAATTAAGGTTTTCATGAACTTGGAAGCTTGAATTGGTTGCTGATATTAGAATGATTTATAATTCTTAGATATGATTTTGAAAGAAGAATTCATGCTTGAATCAAGTTGGAAGTCATGCCTAAGGTACTACATAGTATTCAGTCATGGTGAGAAAAACTGGGAAAAAATATTCAATGTTGTTTTAAGACTTGACGTGACGAATGTATGATTATACAAGCTTTAGAATGTTGTTTGGATGAAATTGGAAGTGTGAAAATTTTAAGGGACTAATTCAGCATATATAGAAATAATAGGTTTAATGAGGAAATTGATTAGAAATCGATGTAGAATGCTTAAATGAATTATTGGAAGCTTCAACTCTAGGTTAAATGGCAAGGAACATATTGAAAATTATTGAAATATTGGTATGAATTTTGAAAGAATTCGTTTTGATGATTAAATTGTGAAATTTAGAATGGTTTTATGAATTATCTTTTGATTTTTATATTAAGGTTGAAATGGATCATATGAAATAGATTTAGTATCGAATAAGTAGAGAAAGAACTTTTAGAAAATTCTTTCTTATTATGTGCCTATTTATGGTGAGGTACTAATATGTACTTTCCATTGTATGTGTTTTGCAAATGATGTATGTGTAGATCCTGAATTAAACCGAGATCGAAGTAAGATTAAAGCTAAGGAAAAAGTTAAAGAGTAAAGCTTATATTTCTATTTAAAGTTTTCTAGTAAAGTATATCAGGTTAGTGCATTCTTATCTTATACTATTATATATGATATAAGGAAGGCTTGCGATAAGTCAACCTGAATGTTTTGGAAAGGAAAATGATTTGATTTGTATTATGATATTATCATAATATTTTATTAAATAGAATTTGAATGATTTCGGGTATGAACTGCCCAGTGCACTATTACATGATACTTTTGATATATCTATATTTATGGATATCTTCATAAATGAATGATATGTAATTTTTAATGGAAATGTCCATTGCATATACATTGAGAGTCCTTTGTATAGTTGGCATGCCATAGAGGTGGAGTATTAACAATTGCATTGAGTACATAGTAGAGTGTTTATGGTACTATTGTATGCAGTTACATTGAGTACATAGTAGAGTGTTTATGGTACTATTGTAATATCAAGAATACAAGACATAGTAGAGTGTTTATGATACTATGATATTCTTGATTATTGGTACACTGATACAATATTGATGATATCTGTACAAGTGACTGACACTAAAAGTGTAAATTGTGCATACTCAGTGACTCGCATACCTTGCATCCTTATTTATTTACTTCGGGCTATGATTGGAATGAAATTGAAAAGTGCAAGATTGATTAATTTATTTGAAAGTAAATGCTCAATACATGTGTGTTCATGCTAGTGTTCATGTTTTTTTTGAATTAATCATTGGTATCTGATCTGTTGACCGACTAATCCAGATCTGATACTGCAAAGGCGAGGGCGACTCTCCCAACCCAGTTTGCTCTATTCACAAACTCCAGGATTCGAACCCCTGACCTTGCTTAAGGGACCTAATGTCTCATCCTACTAGACCAACTGAATGTTGGCAGTGTTCATGTTTTTTTAAACATGTATTTTAAATAAATTTTCAGTATGATTTAACTTCAATATGTTTGTCAACACTTTAAGGAGAGCTTTCTAGTTCTCCTCTTCGTTTTATCTTTTCGGATATTATTGGACTGTAAGTTTTAGACTTGGTGTTTGGAGGATCAGCCATTTCTAGTTTTGAACTTCTATATCCCTCGTGTTTTTTAGGTGGCATGAAACTTTGCGACTAATTATGCATTTACGTATTATTTCATGTATATATGATATTTTATACACGTGATATTTTATATGATTTTTTGTATTGGTATATACATATATGTAATCATTTTACATACTTTATTCAGTAGCATCTGAGTATTATACTATATTATATAGTAGATAAATAAGTATTTATACTTGATTTATCTATAAAATTAATGTTAAAATCTCTGAAAATTTTCTTGGATAAAAATGAGATTGATAAAATATTGTTAGATCATTTATTTCTTTTAATAGTTTAGGGTAATTACAAGATATTATATGTTCAGCTATTGATAACGCACATATACCGGCAAGACGTAATTGTTTGAATCTGACTTTTAAAAAAAATAACACTCCTTTTAACTACTGAGATCACTTAATATGTTGTTAGATTATTTATTCATGAATGTGGTAATTTGAATGCTGGAGTATGGCATTGACAAATCCCACTTGAAGTGAGTATTGCATGTGTTTCCTATGGCCGCAGGATGAATTTATAGAATTTTAGAAAATAAAAAAAATATATTATCAACAAAAAAATATTAAGAATTATTTAATATATAAATATTTAAAATTTTCAGAAAGAATTATCCTCACCCACCGTCCCCAATCCATTTATAGTGGTTCCTTACTTATATCATCTCATAATAGCATGTAGCATGTCATGATTCTTGGTGTTTATATTAAAGTTAAAATTTAAATTTTAATGTTAAAATTAAAATAAATTAGAATTTAATTAGAAAATTGATATAGATTATAAATTTTGAAAGTATTTGAGGTAATTTATTTATTATTGTTCATTTACATTATCTTAATCCGTAAAAATAAATTAAATTTTTTATAAATATTTAGATTAATGTTGACTAATTATTAAATAACCCAAGGCTGTACACGTGTAATTGATAACAAAGTGGGGTCCAAATCCTTCAAAACACAAGCCCCAACTGTTGCGTATTGTTTCCCAACTGTAAGACTTATTCTTCTTCTATGCTCCTCTTCATGCTCTGTAAGCTTAAGCTTATATACTTTCCCATTTTTCTTCCATTTTCCACGCCTTTAATCCCCTTTTCTCCATTTTTTTTTGCAGTCTCTAATGCCTTCTCCTTTGAGTTTTCTTCATAAAGAATCATGGGTCGGTGCCAGATAAAGCATGATCTTTGCTCCTCATCTTCTTTTTGTCATTGTCAAAAGATACTATCCCCATTAAAATCCTTTATTTTTGAAGCTTTTCCCTTTGTTTTCTTCATGGCGAGAGCTTGAAAATAGGATCTCCCTTCTTCCCTTGTCTTGATTTATTTTTCATTTTTTTTGAAGAGAAAAACTGATTTCGGTGTGTTTTTTTTTATAGAAAAACTTGATTCTTTGTTGTGTCATCCATGGAAGAAAAGGGAATTTTTTTTGTTTCACGGAGTTTAAGATATGGCATTCATGGACTGCCTTTTACTGAAAATGGTTAAAGCAAAATGTTCTGTCATTTCAGGACTTTGAGTTCTGTACTTTTGTTATACTTATATATGTGTATATATATAATTTTATATTATATAATGTTTACTTTGTGTTTGTTGATATTCCGAGTCCAACTTTAGGCCATGCAAAGGTACATCTTCGAGGAGTTTCAAGGGAAAAAGCATGTTGTTTTCTGACTTGAGAGCTGGGAAGTGAGAATTATTGAGGGGTAATCAATCTGAAATCTTCAAATGCAATTGTTCTTTTAGTTGAAGTGAAGATCCAAATAAGAAAAAGCCATTCCTCTGAGTTTTTTGTTCAGGAATCTGAGCCGCTAGTTAAGGCTTGTGGGAGAAAAAAGAAAGGTTTGATTCCTTTGGCATCCCAAGAAAGCTTTTGACTATGGAACTTGTGGTTCACGTTGCTCGAGTAAACTTGAATTGTTGATATTGGAATGTTTTTATGCCTTCATTTGTAACATAATCCAGTTACATTTCGACTGCATCTAGTTTTTAAGAAACTCTTTGTTTCAGGTACATGCATTTCTGCTTCTTCTTCCTTCATCCAATCATCTTTCTAACTATAGATGGAGTTTTTAATCTATTGATGTTCTTTTTAAAAAATGATTGCCAGAAACCCTTGTTCAAATAAAACTTGCTTTAAGGTACATGGGATGTTCTTATGTAGGGATAAGAGAAGGATTATAGATGTAGGAATTATAACTTTAGAGATGTTGGATTGAGTTTCAGATTTCAGGTAAGAGGTTATATGACACTGCTGGACTAAGAGGCGATGAATAAGGGAGATGAGAGCCATATGTGTCTCAGAAAGGCTTAAGCAGTGTGTTATAGGAAAATTAAGAGTTGATGATATCTAGAAGCTGATCTGTCAAAGGAAAATGTATGGTCCTGCATCATCATCTTTAATGTCCATAGTCTCTCATGACTGTATCAAATTCGGACTAGGCTAAGCCTTTGTTCGTCATGGGGAAAGAACGGGATCAGTTGCAGATGCAGGACTTGAGTCTTAAATAAACCCTTAGTTGTTAGCCGGGAAAAAAGTGAACCAGTTGCAGATGCAGGACTTGAGTCTTAAATAAGCCCTTAGTTGTAAACCGGGAAATAAGTGAACCAGTTGCAGATGCTGGTATTTGAGTCTCGAACGCATTAGATGTTGATTCTTAATAATGATTGTATGGTTAAACACTAGTCCCTTCATGGGAAATAAGAAACAAGTGATTGTGGTCTTTGCGGATGCTGGTATTCAAGTGAATGCTAAATAAGGGAACGACTAAGTTTCTACCTATTTTCCTTATTCTTCATCTGTGTTTGAATCAGTGAATATCAAATGCTTGTGCAAATTCAGGATTTCTGACATAATCTATTAATATTCACTTCTGGTATCAACATATCAATGCCTTTTGTATTTTCTTCAAAACAGCTCTTAGCAATTCTATGATGAAGATGGCTTTTGTCTCTCCTGCTCGTATCTTTTGTTTTATAAAATAGGTGAAGATTTAACAACTTATGTGTCTCTTCTATGATTTTTATCAGATTCCAGGCCACCTTTCAACCGGAATTCGGATTATCGAAGAGTCATATTCTCAAACAAAAAGCACATTAATCATGGCCAAAAGATCAAATGGATGTCCTCTGAGGCATGGAAAGGATCAGTCAGGCTGTATGTGGGGCTTGATTAGTATGCTTGACTTCCGCCATAGTCGTTCAACTCAGAGACTGCTCTCCATTAGAAGGCGCGGGAACGGAAATGCCGTTGGTAAGTTCTTTAAGTTACTTTTTGAAGCATTTGTGTGGTGATGGATCAAACTCTATTTGAAGTTGTGAAGTGTTTATAAATGGTCTTTTGAATTGTCCTTTTAGCACTAAGAGACAAGTTCTCTTGTTTGTATCATTAAATCGGGATTCTTTTATGTCGTAATATCGGTTCTAAGCAATATACTTCATTTATACAAACGAGAGTATCCCTTAATGCTCTGCATTTTCTCTTCAAATTTTCAGGTGTGGGAAATGCAGGAGAAAAACTTATGTTGACTGTCTCTGTCGAAACTTGTCCCAGACTTCTAGTAAGCTTCGGAAACTCGAAAGTATCGTTGTTGTTGTTAATTAGATGGGAAGATGAGTATAAGATAATCATCAATGGATAAAAATGTTCATTTGTATATTACTTTTATTTTCAGGATGGTGAAGAGGAAACAGCAGCAATTGATGAATGTAAGCTGAGAGAGAAAAGACTCCTAGAAGAAGAAATGACTGGAGGGAAGGTGGAAAATAATACTGAAGTTGAAGCAAAACAGTTCGATTCTGAAGAAGGAGATGATGGAAGGAAGAATCGGAAAAGAAAAAACAGAACTTGCAAGAAAAGTTCTGGTAACAATCTTGATATGGATGCTGCCGAGAAAGTGGTTTCTGAAGGATCTCGTCAGCACAAATCAGAGCAACAAACAACAATCAATCTCGATATCGACAATCTAATGAAAGAGTGTTTTGGGAAAGTCCATCAGAAAAACATCAATTGTGGGAACCATGTCCAGCTTGAGGGACACTCGAAGAGCTATGGTTTAGAAGAAAGATTGAGCGAGGCAATCAAGTTCTTAGTGAGTCGCAAGCTTCTTAATGGGGTCCAACTTACAGAAGATGGGAAAGTCCAAGCCTCGAAAGAAGTCATGGATGCACTAATGATTTCGAGTTTAGATGAGGAACTGTTTTTGAAACTTTTACAAGATCTATATCGAGGGAATGAATCATCTTTCTGAGCTGCTAGCAAATGGGGATGAAAATGTGGATCTTTCAAGTACACAGGTTCCGAAAACCTTAGATGGGATTCATTCTCTTCCCGACTATAACTCATCCCCTGTTGGCGGCCCTGGCCAGTACTTGGAGCCTAGTTTTATGACTGCACAGACGATATTTGCAGGTTCGGAAAAATCTCAGAAGGCAAGTGAAAACAATCAAGTCAACCTTGTCAGCAATCCAAGTCCAATGGAAGAGAACACTAATAGCCGGCTTTGCCATTGTAACAACAAAACTTGTAATGAAGTCAAAGGTGATAATGCAATTCCAGAACACCTTGACACTAGTGAGAATAATGAGAAAGAGGATCCGGTTTTTTGTTCTATGAAAGATGAAATGAGTTCCGAAGGTACAATTTTTCATTTGTTTAATCTATGATGACAATCATGAATATCGAGCTTTATTCGTATCTAACCCTCATAAAATTTATGCAGATTCTGCGAGTGTTGAAGCAACTGAAATGATGGTTCACGAAGAAAGCAAGATCTTGGATGCTTCTTCTCCATTAGCGTCTCCATCGAACACATCGATCATGAAAAAGGTTGAAACATCCATACAACCTCCAAGAATTCGATTTGAAGGACATAACTCTTTGGCCACAAATCAGAGTAATCGTATTTAAGCTTGTATGGATGATAAGGAATCGATATTTGAGAACATAAAGGCTGTGCTGGTAGCCTCGAGTTTCAACTGGGACGAACTCTACATCCGTTCACTTTCTTCTGGCGTGCTTATCAACCCATTGTTGCTTGATGAGGTCGAATACTTGCCTAACCAGCTTTGTCAGGACCAAACTCTGCTCTTCGATTGCATTAACGAAGTTCTTGTTGAATTTTGTGAGCACTATTTCGGTTCCCCGGGGATTTCATTTGTTAAACCCAATATCCGTTCTCTCCCAAACATGAATAATACCATTCAAGAGGTCACGAAAGGAGTTTATGAGCATTTGCTCACGGTGCCGGTGCCTTGTACTTTGGATCTGATAATCAGAAAAGACTTGGCTAAGTCAGGAACATGGATGGATCTTCAACTTGACACTGGTTGTATTAGTGTTGAGATTGGTGAAGCCATCTTTGAAGATTTAGTGGGAGACACCATAACAAGCTGCTTAAATGGACGTCGGGATGCGAATGTAATGTGCTTCCGGCTTAGCTGAAGGAACTACGGCAGTTAGATTTACTCATGAAAGGCAACTGAGTTTTACAACTTGAGTTTGAGTTTGAGTTGGAGTTTGGATTGGATTGGATTGATTACTTACACCATAGATGGTGTCTATTAAACTATCCAGCAAGCATTGTTGTTGGTAACAAAAACATAAGTTGACATGAAATCACGGTTTCAAAGCACCATTTACCATTCAATTCTGAAGCTTAGTCGACAAGGCAATGGCGACCCAATCCGGCTGAGGCGACGACCATTGCAACTGCTCGATTTCAGCCCCAACGGTGTATGCAAGAATCGGGTAAGTCAACCTCCAGTAGGCTGACCCATGGACTACAAATCCCAGATCAACTCTCGAGAATCATCGCGGCAGTGCATCTATGGGAAGAGCTAGGGTGAGTAGGGATGGGCATGGTTCAGGTCGAGTCGGGTTTTCGGTCAATCCGATTCGACCCGAAAATATATATCCTTCACTAACCCGAGTTAAGTCGTTCATCCGACCCAATTTTTGAGATAAAAACATGAATCTGATCTGAAATAAATATATTTATGAAAAAAATATCATTTTTATTCAATAAAAGTAGATATTTAATTCAACATAGGGTTATTATTATAATATTCTTAAATATATAGTATAAACTTACATTATTTTTCGAGTCAAGTCGGATCAAATATTTTTCACTCTAAATCCGAACCTAATCCTACACCAATATATTTTCTAAAAAGACCCGACCCGACCTGTACTCCGATCAAATCGGGCCAGCTCGAGTCTTGTGACCATCCCTAAATTGGTGAGTCAATATAAATATAATTAAAATTTCATCTAATGTAATTTTTATATATTTTGATTTAAAAATATAATAAAATTATATATATATATATATATATATATATATATATATATATATATATTGATTAAATCTAGAAAAAATATATAAATCGGAGCAATCTACTTTTTTTAATATAATTCATACATATATTTATTTAGGGTAAGTTATCTATTTGGTCACTCACCTATATTTAATTATGTTTGTCATTTAACTATTATTTTTTTAAAATCATACTAACGTTACGTTTTAGTTCTTTCTTGGTCACCCATCATTAAAAAAATTAACAATGATACTAACGTGATATTTTTAATTATTTTAATCTTGATGTGGAATTATCTTATGATGACTAATCAATATCATCATTAATTTTTTAAAGACGGGTGACTAAAACAGAACTAAAATGTAACATTAGATATGATTTAAAATAAATAATAGTTGGATGACTAAAATAAAACTAAATAATGAGTAGATGACTAGCTAAGTAATTTACCCTTTTATGGATTGGGTGGGCCAGGATAAGACCTAGATACGCACCTGTATAAATCAAATTTTAAACGTACAAATATAATATAAATTTTTTCTTTCTCAAACTATATAAAATAATAGTTTTGATACGATCTCTAATCCACGATATAATAGACACCGCGAACTCCGCCCTCTGTCACCGCTGATAATACTTTTTCTCCCTTTTCACCTCCGCCGTGTCGTTCCAATCTCTTCTCACCAGGGCCGCTTATCAACGCCGGCATCTTAATTGGTTTCCTTGTCCTTTCCATTAAAAAAGGTGAGTATAAATTGAGCTCTTTCGGTGCGAACCCTTCGTCTCTTAATCTCAAATTTAGGTTTTCTAGTTTTTAATTATTGTTTGATATCACTTTAGGTTGGTGCACTTTCGTAGATTTTTTTTTTGCTTATTTTTTCGATTTCGATATTTAGGTTTAAAATTATACGTTTCATTTGTTTCTTTTCATAAGTTGTTTTTTGCTTTTGTTTTTTTTTTTTAGTTTATGCGTTGTAAGTTTTATGTTGATAAAGTTCACACTTGCAATCATTGTTCATGTTATTGATGTTATAATCTTGAATGGGTTCGTAACATTTTAAAAAGTGCTATGATCTTTTGAGTATCCAATGTATGTATTGATTTTAATATCTTTTTGAAGAATTGCTGAAATTTTCTTGAATAGGTTCAAGTTTTTGGTGTTAAAATAAATCAAAACCTTTTGATTAAAATTAATACTTGGAATGATATGTTTTGGCGTTCTGTAGGTTTAAGTTTGACAAAAACCAAATAAGAAAACAAAATTGAAAGCTTTGCAAAACGAGTTGGGATTTTTGGTTTTTCCTTAATTACATTGTTTAGATCCTTGCTTCTCAATTTATAACCCATTTCAATTCGTGTCCAATTGGATCCTAAATTGAGCATTTGGTATTTCCATGAAAGAAAACTTTATCATATATATAGAAATTTGGTTGCTGCATCAGTTCGTTTGTCGATCATCTGTGATTCTTTGGTTTTCATTAAGTGTGATAAACATTTTGACCGACTTTTTTTAAATCCTTCTTTCAAGTTATTGAAGCAGCATTCTGGGCGTGTTAAACTTCATCTTGGTTGAGACACGAAACCTATAAACCTTTGCTCTTTTTTCTGTTAAGATGGCAGATTCAAGTGAGCCCCAGCTTACCGGAAAAGAACCTCAACAATCTGAACAAGGTAAATTGTGTCCCTTCTTTTATCATGTCTAAAGCTGTAAATGGATAATTACTTATAATTGCAATACCTATCAAAGTTGTCGTTCCCCATCCAGGGGTTAGTTTACCATATTCTGAACACAATGGTTTCAAAAGATCCCTGAAGCAGTTCATCTTGAACCGGATCTTGAGCTATGCTCAAAGGTTTGCGTAGCCATAATTTTTTTTTTTTTGAAAAATTGTAGCCATAAATTTTATTTTGTATTCAATGTGATCTGTTCACTCTGTATATCATACCCCTTAAACAAACAATCTTACCATAGACCCATTAGCTAACTCGTTGATTTTTCAGTCTGCAATTTCTTTAGGAAGCCAACAAAGGGAAAAAACATAAGGAAAAGGACAATAAACGAGGATGAAGATGAAGACTCCAGAAATGGCTCATCTCTGTTGCAAAATCAAAGAAAGACCTCAAAGGCTGACAATAAGTTATACTTCTCAACTGCATCCTCCAGGACTTCTGCTGCTGAATCAAATACAGAACCTGACAAACCAATTTTTCAATTTGAATCCTCGAAGGATATACAAGTTCAAAATGATAGCAGAGCCACAGCAATATTAGAAACCGAGACGGAGTTCACAAAAGATGCTCGAGCTATACGTGAGAGAGTTCTTAAAAGAGCAGAGGAGGCTTTGAAGGGGAAAACCACAAGCTCCGGGGGAGAAAAATTGTACACTGGAATGCATGGCTATGTGGATCATAAAGCTGGGTTTCGAAGAGAACAAACTGTTGCTAGTGAGAAAGCTGGTGGCTCACATGGACCTCTTAGGGCTTCTGCCCACATCAGGGTTTCAGCAAGGTTTGATTATCAACCCGACATCTGTAAAGACTACAAAGAAACCGGTTACTGTGGTTATGGAGATTCATGTAAGTTCATGCATGACCGTGGAGATTACAAGTCCGGATGGCAGTTAGAGAAGGATTGGGAAGAAGCAGAGAAAGCAAGGAAAAGAAAACTCGCGTTGGGGGGAGATGATGATGATGATGAGGAGGGGGCAGCTCAGAGTGATGACAATGATGAGGATTCGTTGCCCTTCGCATGTTTTATTTGCCGGCAGCCATTTGTCGATCCTGTTGTTACTAAATGCAAGCACTACTTCTGCGAGCACTGTGCTTTAAAGGTACCACCATATTTCCTTCTATGTAGATCTTTTTTTTCCTTTTCTTAAATGTCTTATTCTTGTTATGTGGCTCAACTTTTTTGAGGTATAGAATATAGATTTTGGACAATCACTTTAAATCATTAATTTTTGGTACCTAATGTCATTATGGTTTGATTTCCTAATCTGGTTTGGTCTAACATTTTTTAGTTCTTTCAAAAGAAAACTAACCAAAATGAATCTTCTGTTGTCTGGTTTATTCAGCATCATGCGAAGAATAAGAAGTGCTTTGTATGCAACCAACCCACCCTTGGCATTTTCAATACTGCTCATGAGATACGTCGAAGGACGGCGGAAGAGGGTAAACAAAAAGCCCATTGATTCTTTGCTTCAAATCCTGCTCTCTTGAATGTTTTTACTTGATTTTTAGTATTGTAGTTGACTAGCTATTCGGACTCGATTGTGAGACTTGGACGTGGGTGTGTATTCAACGTAGGGGGGGTTTTTTGAGTTGAAGATTTTCATGTATTTGACTAGTCCTTGTAAGGATCATATTTAAGCTACTCAATTTCTTTTCAAATACGAGATAATCTACTCAATTCTTTCCTCCGTTGCATGCTTACATCGGATGTTGTCATGTTGATGAAGTTTTCCACCATCTTTACCAGGGCTATCTGGTTAAAAAGAAAACAGATAAATGATGTATTGAAGCCAGAAATAATTTGTGAAGAAAAAAATGCTATAGATCCATCTGCGGTGTCTTGATGTCCAATATCTATCAAAAGCATTGAAGGCTTGTATCATTCTTCGGATATCTGTAAATCTTTCGAGCAAGCACGATTTCGACGAGCAAACTTTGGTGGGTCAATCTGTTAACTGTGGTTATATGTCAGCAAACCTATTTTTCACTGATGTTTTCTGCTGTATTTGAAGCAAAATCGTTAGGGATCTGCATGTCTCGGACATGTTCAAGGAGTCTAATAAGTGGTCGAAAAGTTCTTGTGTAAACAGTGATTCAGTTAACAGAGTTGTAGCTAAAGAATGAAAGGCATCACTGTTACATTGGTCACTTCGATCTTCCACGGGGACCGATGAACTCTCCGGTTTCCTTCAGAACAGGACATATTTCTCTGGAATTTCAAAGTAGTTTTTCACTGTAAGTGGTCGAAGACAATGCCTGTACAAAATTCCAGAATGTTCGAATTCCTCACACGAGCAATGAATTTGCTCATCTTGTAAATCACAAGACAAGATATTGACTATCCATTTTCTTGTAGTGTGGCACAAGATACCATCCATTCGATTGTTGCATACTGCATGGACAGCTGAATTTCATGCTGTAATGCATTGAATGCATATATGGCGTAAGAATACTTGTTGGCATTTTCTTCAATCGGTCTTGATATGCATGTATCGCAACGATTCTCGGCTTTGGTTTCCTAAATCAGCGGCAATCCCAACCGGCCAAAAGAAAATGGTTA